GTGGAAGATTTGTCATAGGGTTCCCCAGGTGTAAGTATTGCAACTCTTGCTTTTCTTGATTTTATGTTAATGACCTCAATCTTGGAATGCAGGGGGCAATTTCACAGTTTGTGGGGGAGACAAAACTTGGACTATGAAGAGGACTGTGTAGAACTTCAAAGGGGTATTAAAAGGTTGTTGGAATAGCTGGATAGGTGGCAGATGACTTTCAGTGCAGAGAAGTGCGGGGTGATTCTTTCTTTACAAAGTACGTGGGGAGACAGTATTAACAAAAACATAGTATAAAGCATGTGCAAGAGTGAAGAGAATTGGGTGTATTTGGGTAGAAGTCTTTAAAAGTGGCAGGACAGCTGAAGAGTGTGGCTAATTAATCATACAGAATCTTTGACTTTATTAATAATGGCATAGTGTACAAGACCAGGAATATTGTGCTGAACCTGTATAAGACAGTAGATAGACCTCATGGAGTATTGTGTGTAACTATGGGCACCACACTTTCAGAAGAGAGTGAAGAAGACACATCCAGGGATAAGGAATTTGAGTTATAAGGATAATTTGAAGAAATTGGGACTGCTTTCCTTGCAGTGAAGACTAAGAGGTGATTTGATTGAAGTTTTGAAAATCATGAGAGATCTGGTTGGAGTAGACAGGAAGACACTGTTCTCATGTACGAGAGGATCAAGAACAAGGCGGCACAGATTTAAAATAGCTTGCAAAGAAATAATGGGAAACTCTTTCTCTCTCAGTACATGGTTTGGGTCTGGAATACGCTGCCTGGAAGTGTGGTGGGGGCAGATTCAATAAAGGCATTCAAGAGGGTATTAGATGATCTATTTAAAGAGAAATAATGTGTTGGTTACTGGGAAATGGTGGGAGAATGGCACGGAGTTATGACGCTTGTTCAGAAACCTTTGGTGTAGATAGGCTGAATGGCTACCTTCTGACTGTGATGTGGCACCATTGCTTCACTTACCTTAAATGTATCCTTCTACCAATGGGGATACTTATTCCTACTCTGTCCAGACCCCTCATGACATTGATATCTCTATCAAATCTTTCCTTCCCAAAGAACAGTCCTATCATCATCAATGTTTCAGTGTAACTGAAGTTCCTCATTCCTGAAACAATTCTTCTGAATCTTTTCTGCACCCTCCTCTTAGAATATAGCAAGCAGAACTTGACATGATATTCCAGCAGAAGCTGAGCCAGTGTTTTATGTAAAATTAAACATAACTTCCTTGCTTTTGTACTGTGTGCCCTTATTAATAAACATAAGATGCTGTATTAATCACTGTCCTAACCAGTGCAGCCACCTTCAATGACTTGCATTCCTCTGCACTTGCATCCTCTTTTATTTTCCATGTTCTTACTACCAAAATGAAGCTCTTATGACTTCTTACATCAAATTCCATTTGCCACTTGTTTGCTCATTCCATCAACCTGCGTATCTTCTGCTAATGGTTCACATGGTTCAAAGCTTTGCAAGTTTTGTACATCCATAAATTTTACACCAAGGTCTGGCTCATTAATTACTATTGGGAAAAGCAAATGTCCTGTCACCAGCCCCCTGAGGAACTCCAGTGTAAACCTTCCTCAAGTTTGCAAAATATCCATTAACCACTGTTGTCTGTTTCTGTCACTCGGCCAATTTCATATTCATCTTGCTTCTGTCCTTTCTGTTCCATGAGCTGCAATTTTACACTCGGGTATGTCATGTAGCACCTTATCCTTTTAGAATTCCAGCACCACATAAACCCCCTCAGTTACCACATCAGAATTCTTCAAATTAGTTACATGTGATTTATCCTGAACAAATCCATGCTGACTTTCCCTAACTAGCCTGCATTTGCCTAAGTAAATATTCATTGTTTTCCGACATATTATTTCTAGAAGCCTTCCCAGAGCTGAAGTCATGGTGATTGATCTGTTATTTCTCAATCATCAAAGGTAAAAAGATATATTTTCTTGCCCTGAAAATAAAATCACTGCATGGTGAAATAATTTGTAAAGGAATGAAAATATGAAAGAATTTTGTGCTGGAATTTGGTGCGTATGACAAATCCAGGCTGGGGTTTGTAATCTATAGTAATATACATAACATTAACTCTCTCTTCCTATTCGTTTCATTGTAATTGAGAGGCCTCCATCAGCAAAATGTACAAAAGTGATTATGATTTTGAAAACTATTGAATATAACCCATTGTTACATTTCACAAAATGGTCATCTGTGTCAGTTGTGCATTGAAGTTTACTGAAGTGAAATCTCAAGAGTTTGTGAAACGTTTTAAGTTAAAAGGGATTGGTGTAGTGGTGTAATTGCTGGACAAATAATCCAGAGACTCAGATAATGTTCTGGGGTTGAATCCAGGGGAAAGAAATCTGCCTTCCTTACCTGGTCTGGCCTACATGTGAATCCAAGCCACAGCAATGTGGTTGACTCTTAACTTCCCTCCTGGCCTGACCAAGCCTCCAATCTCAGTATCAAAAAAGGAATGAAACTGATGGGCCATCGACATCAACTGAGGGACCAAAACAAGGGCAGCAAACTTAGCCCCTGCCAACTTAGCACCTGCCAACACTTGGCAGCATCCAGTAAGTGTCAGCATTAGGAGAACTTTTCATAGACAAGTCAAGGAATGGCCTGCTATAGTCATACAGAATCATACATTATACATACCATCCCAGACAACACCATCACTGTCCCAGCACAGGTGATGGCACAGTGGTATACAGTCAGGAGGGAGTTGCCCAAGGAGTGCTCAACATTGACTCCAAACCCCTTGAAATCTCAAGGAATCAAACATGGACAAGGAAGCCACTCTTCGCCCCCTCGGCTGATGAATCTGACTTGATTCTGTACTATTGAACACTTTTGGAGAAAGTACAGAGACTGGCAAAGGTGCAGATTGTATTCTGGGTCAGAGCCTTTATATTTCACCACCGAGTGTGGCTCAGCAGCACCACTGCTGATCAAGCTGGTAAGTTCTGAATGACATTGCAAAAAAGTGGATCTGAGACAGGTGCTGAGTGAACCACACTGATTAAAAAAAACATACTTTGCCTTATCCTCACCAATTTGCCTGCAGCAGATACATCTGATTATGACACTGGCCACCACAGAGACCTTGTAGACACATAGTTCCATTTTCACATTGAGAATACTCTCCACCATGTTGTGTGGCCCTATCACTGTGCAAAATAGGATGGACTTTGGACAGATTTAGCAACTCAAGACTGGAAATCTATAAGACCCAAATCTGTAAGAAATCTATAAGCAGCAGCAGAATTGTACACCAGCACAATCAGGAAACTCATGGTCCAGCATATCCACCACTCCACCATACAATGAACCAGGGTTACTCCCAGAGATAGCAAGAACTGCAAATGCTGGAGTCAGAGTCAATAAAGTGTGGAGCTGGAGGAACACAGCAGGTCAGGTAGCATCAGAAGAGCAGGAAAGCCAATATTTCAGGTTTACACCCTTCATCAGGTTACCACCGTCTTGAATGGAGAGTGTAGAAAGATATGCCAGGAGCAGCACCGGCCATACCTAAAAATGAGGTGCCAACATGGTGAAGCTATAATACAGGACTACTTACATGTCAAACAGCATATGGAGCAATGATAGTCAGAGCTAAATGATTCCACAACCAACAGGTCAAATCTAAGCTCTGCAGTCCTGCCACACCCAGTCATGGATGGTGGTAGACAATTGAGCAACTAATTGGAGAAAGAGGCTCCAAAAATATCCCCATCATCAATGAAATGGGAGCCCTGCACATCAGTGCAAAAGATAAGGCAGTTGCCATTGCAACTGAAAAATCTTCAGCCGGAAGTACTGAGTGGATGATCCATCTCAGCTTCCTCCAAGTTCCCAGTGTCACAGGTGTCAGTTTTCAGATAATTTGATTCACTCCATATGATATCAAGAGAAGACTGAAGACACTGGATACTACAAAGGCTGTGGGTCTTGACAAACATTCCAGCATTATTACCAAAGACTTGTGCTCCAGAACTTCCTGCAGTCCTAGACAAACTCTTTCCATAGAGCCACTACACTGGCATCCACCCAACAATGTGAAAAATTGCCCAGATATGTACTGCACACTTAAAGTAGGACAAATCTAACTTGGCCAATTACCATTCCATCAGTCTACTCTCGACCATCAGTAAAATGATGAAGGTGTCATCAACAATGTTACCAAGCAGCACCTGCTCAGCAATAACCTGGTCGCTGATGCCCAGTTTGGGTTCTGCCAGGGCCACTCAGCTCCTGATCTCATTACTGCTTTGGATGAAACGTGGACAAAAGAAGTGAATTCAAGAAGTGAGGTGAGAGTGACAGCCTTGATACTGAGACTATATGTTTGACCAAATGTAGTATCAAGGCTGTGAATATTCATTTAACAATAGAACGGAAGTGGAGTTAGGGCCACTATCAGATTAGTCATAAATTTTATTGAATGCCAGAGCTGGCAAGATAGGCTTAATAATCTTCTCTGCTCCTATTTCTTATGATCTTGTGGATAATGATTGTTATACAGGCCCACATCAAATTAAAAGGAACCTGTCGTTTTGGTGCTGTCTTTGCTTTACGAGGTGGTCTGTAATTTAATCTAATTTCCAAATATCTCTTATAAATGCACATTACATAAAATAAACTCATCCAATTCATCGTTCAGCCCATCACTTACCATCACTTTTACCTCAGCTTCCACTCTGTCCTTTAAGCCTTCCCTTTTTCAATAACTTGGCTGGGAATTATTAGCTGTAGCAGGGGAGTTTTTAAAGAGGCTATTTCCTTATGGAGATCATGTCACTTCTTCACCTTGATATGGTATTCATTTGTCTTGTGTCTGGGTAATATTAATTGAAGGAAGTATTTGTATTATATTTGAGCCAGATTTTTAAAAATCTAATTGTAGAAAATAGCACATGATGTGGTAGAGGTTAACTTGGAACTAATAAGGTCTATGATTTCACTTTGCTTGAATTTACAGTGCTAACAGCCACAGATGCAGTCAACGTTGTTGTCAACTCCAAAAACATAGAAATTGGTAGAGGTGATGAGCTGGTTATCAGTTGTCAATACAGTCTAAATATTCCAGCAAGGAATCTCCTTAACGTAGAATGGTATAAACTCCCAGATGATCCAGAAGAAGGACTGGTAAGTGTACCTTCAGCATCCCAACATTTAATCGCTGTACCATTGCTAGCTGTGCCTTCACGCCTAGGTCCCTAAGTTCTGGAATTGTCTCTCTGCCTTTCTACTCCACTTTCTGCATTTAAAACTCACCTTAAAGCCTAGTATTTTTACCAAATCTTTGGTCGTCTGACTGATTACCTCCCTTATGAAATTGGTATTAACTTTTCTTTTGGACTTTTATAAAACAAATGTTTTATTACATTAAAACCATTTTATAAATATAAGTTACTGCTTTTGAAATTGGCAAGTAATGCTTTTGAAATTTAAATTATTGCCATCATAATAATTAATTCTGACAAATACTGAACAAACGAATTAAAGCAAGTGAGCTGAATTAGCGTAGATGATAGTCATAATTTAGGCTCAGCAAAATGGCACTTCATTCGGTTCATAATGTCAGTGCAAATGCTTGGGTAGTAGACAGTGTTAAGTGTGCACCATCTCCCAGGAGATTGTGAGACCAGAAGTGACAATGGGGGGGAGTCTCCTAAGCTTTTGAGCATGACTAACCACACACAAGGCAGCAATTGGATATGACAGTAACCTAGTCAGTGAAGGGGACAAGTACCAATGAGGATCAATATCCACAGAAACAGATGCAGAGTCCTTATTAGGATGGCAGAGGAGAGAAGCAAATGGCAGGAAGACAACTAAGTTCATACTTTCAGCATTGAGCTGTCTGGAAATGCCAGAGACTCAGTGTGGCAGAATACTGTGTGCCTATCTTGAGATTTTTGCTCTTACTGAGAAGACCTAAGACCTTGCAGCACTACTTGCTGTGCATCAGTAGCTGTTGAAGTCATTGTTGCCTTGAAAGTTTTCACAACAGGCTCATTCCAAGAAACTTTGCTGGCATTGCTCAATTAAAGCATTCCATTCAATCTCATGTATGTTATGAATTCCAGGAAGAGCATTAATTTCTAAAAATATGTTAAAATTCCTGTTATTAACTGAAAGAACTGTGCCGCAAAAGTTGTTCATTACACAGTAAAAAAAACTAACAGCAAGTCCTACTGAGCTAACTCTTTATATTTTGTAAACCTTTATTATTCAAACCCTAAAACCTTAACCATAAAAAAATTAATTTTCAATTCCATACAAAATTTTCTATATATTTTCTAGGATTTCAAGGGTTCTTGCAGATCTCCTGGAACTAAACCAAGGCCTGCCACAGCTCTCAGGAATTCAGTTGGATTGTTCTCCATTTCCAATCTGGCACTTAGATTTCCAGAGCTTAATTTCTCTGTGACAATTCCATTGCTAATTTCTTTTTGTAGCCATATCAGGCAGATCTGACAGTTTTAATTCCTTTAGTCTTTTTGTTCCAAGCTTAGTTACTCCAAATCAGGTGCACCTCATTCCTAATAACCCCTCTGTTCACTGTTTTGACTGTTGGCAGATGTAACATTGCCTTCTCACAGCTTTTCAAGTGTAATTCTAACAACTTTCTCTCTTAGACACTCGTGATCTCACTCCCTTACCATCTGAGGTGCAATATCAACAAGTCCAAATGACTGTCTTCCTGTAATCTATTTCCATGGCAATATGGCATAACTGGTAATGTCCAAGATAGAGATTTCAAGATGGTCCTTTGATCTGACATTAGATCAACACTAAGAATTTCCTTGATTTACCTTTAGCCTTTCAACCTTTCTTTGATCTGTGACCCAAGTTAAATAATTTAAACCCATTTATGAACACAATTGTATATATCTTGTCTCCACCTGAAAGATCAGGAAGAAGTTGCCCATTATCGGTGTTTTTACATGAGTATACTGGAAGCTGCATATATTAATATAGAGGGTGCTGTTCTTTGCAAACAGAATGTGTACATGCAATGCACCTATTTCAACTCCACAAAATAGATGACAGCCATTCATTGCATTATTGGTCAGGACATTGCCCTGAAAATTTACGGTCAATCTGCCTGGTTTGAAATCTAAACAAAACCTGGCAGTTCACAGTCAACCATCCTTAACAGCTGCATTTTCCATGGCAATGCCTCTATCAATCAGAGTCCACTTGTCAGCCAATTAGCATTCTCCTCTCATATAGTATAAGTGGTGTTTTCCCCTTTTTTATTGGTGTTCTTAAATTGTCTTGATGAGTTTCTTGTATATATTCCGTCTGTTAGGTATCAAAGATTTTCTCCTTTTAAATTTCTTAATCATTAAATAGAGTCATAGAATTATACAGTATGGAAACAGACCCTTCGATCCAACTCGTCCATGCTGACCAGATATCCTAAACTGATCCAGTCGCATTTGCCAGCATCCCTCTAAACCCTTCCTATTCTTGTACGTATCTAAATTCCTTTTAAATGATGTAATCGTACCAGCTTCCACCACCTCCTCTGGCAGCTCATTCCACACATGCACCACCCTCTGCATGAAAAAGTTGCCCCTCAGGTCCCTTTCAAATCTTTCCCCTCATACCTTAAACCTATGCCCTCTAGTTTTGGACTCCCCCACCCTGGGAAAAAGACCTTGTCTATTTGCGCTATCCATGCCCCTTATGATCTTATAAACCTGTATAACGTTACCCCTCTGTCTCCACACTCTAGGAAAAATAGCCCCTGCCTATTCAGCCTCTCCCTATAACGGAAACCCTCCAAGCCTGACAACATCCTTGTAAATCTTTTCTGAACCCTTTCAAGTTAAACATCTTTCATACAGCAGGTAGACCAGAATTGAATGCAGTATTCCAAAAGTGGCCTAACCAATGTCCTGTACAGCCGCAACATGACCTCCCAACTCAATGCACTGACCAATGAAGGCAAGAGTACCAAACACTGCCTTCACCACTCTGTCTACCTGCACCCCTAGGTCCCTTTGTTTGGCAACACTCCCCAGGGCCCGACCATTAACTGTATAAGTTCAGAGGAAGGGTCACCGGACCCGAAACGTTAACTCTGATTTTTTCTTCACGGATGCCGCCAGACCTGCTGAGTTTTTCCAGCAACTTCTGTTTTTGTTCCTGATTTACAGCATCTGCAGTTCTTTTGGTTTTTATTTAGTAATTAACTATATAAGTCCTGCCCTGATCTGCCTTACCAAACTGCAGCACCTCACATTTATCAAAATTAAACTCCAGTTACCACTCCTCAGCCCATTGGCCCATCTGATCAAGGTCCCTTTGTAATCTTAGATAACCCTCTTCATTCTCCATTACACCACCAATTTTGGTGTCATCTGCAAACTTACTAACCATACCTCCTATAACCCACATCCAAATCATTTATAAAAATGACAAAAAACAGTGGGCCCAGCTCCGATCCTTGTGGCACACTGCTGCTCACAGGCCTCCAGTCCGAAAAACAACTTTCCACCATCATTCTCTGTCTCTTACCTTCAAGTCAATTGTGTATCTAATTGGCTAGCTCCCCCTGGATTCCATGTGATCTAACCTTACTAACCACTCCACCATGCAGAACCTTGTTGAAATTTTTTTTATTCATTAACAGGTTGAGGGCATCGCTGGCTAGGCAGCATTTATTGCCCATCCCTAATTTCCCAGAGGGCAGTTAAGAGTCAACCACATTGTTGTGGGTCTGGAGTCACATGTAGGCCAGACCGGATGAGGATGGCAATTTCCTTCCCTAAAGGACATTAGTGAACCAGATGGGGTTTTCCAACAATCAACAATGGATTCACGGTCATCATTAGATTCTTAATTCGAGATATTTATTGAATTCAAATTCCATCATCTGCTGTGGTGGGATTCAAACCTGGATCCCCAGAACATTATCTGGGTCTCTGGATTAACAGTCCAGTGATAATACCACTAGGCCATCACTTCTCCCTGAATGCCTTGCTGAAGCCCATATAGACAATGTCTACCATTATGCCTTCATCAATCTTCTTCATCACTTCTTCAAAAAACTCTATCAAGTTAGTGAATCATGATTTCGCATGCACAGACCCTCCCCAATCGGTCCTTGCCTTTGCAAATGCATGTAAATCCTGTCTCTCAGAATCTCCTCCAACAACTTACCTACCACTGATATCAGGCTCACCAGTCTATCGTTCCCTGGCTTTTCCTTGCCAACTTTCTGAAATAATGGCACCACATTAGCCAACTTCCAGGCTTACAGCACCTCACCCATGGCTATTGATGATACAAATATCTCAGCAAAGGACCCAGCAATCTCTTCCCTAGCTTCACACAAAGTTCTGGGATACACTTGATCAGGTCCAGGGGACTTATCCACCTTTTATGTGTTTTAAGACATCCAGCATCTCTCCTTCTGTAACATAGACATTTTTCAAGATATCACTATTTATTCCCCAAGTTCTCTGGCTTGCATATCTTTCTCCATAGTAAATACTGATGCGAAATACTCATTTAGTATCTCAACCATCTGCTGTGGCTCCATACCTAGGTGGCCTGGTTAATCTTTAAGGGACCTTATTGTCTCCCTGGTTACTCTTTTTCTCTTAATGTATTTGTAGAATCTCTTTGGATTCTCCTCAACACTGTTTGCTCTCTTTGCCCTCCTGATTTCCCTCTAATGTATACTCCTACTACCTTTAAACTCCTCTAGGAATTCACTTGATCCCAGCTCTCTATACCTGACAAGAGCCTCCTTCTTTTACTTGACCTGAGCCTCAATTTCTCTGGTTATTCAGCATTCTCTACTCCTGCTAGCCTTGCGTTTCGCACTAACAGGAACATACTGTCTCTGTACTCTCGTTATCTCATTTTTCAAGGCCATCCACTTTCCAACTGTCTTGTTACCTGTGAGTAGCCTCTCCCTGTCAACTTGAAAGTCCTTGCCTAATACTGTTAAAATTGGCCTTACTCTAATTTAGAACTTTAACTTTTAGATCAGGTCTATCCTTTTCCATAACTATTTTGGTTTCAGTCAGAATATACAATTGGTGTTTGAGAAACAATAGTTAGAAGGGAGTAAGAGTGCAACAGGAGACCTAATTCAATACACTGGGAATAATACTGCAATACTGCATGCTTGATGATCATTCTAGGATTGTTTATTTCAAAAAAAACGATTACTGAAAAAGGTTTTGAGAAAACAGTCCTCCGAAAACCTGAAGCTTTAATGAGCAGGAAACATATAACTGGCATTTGAGTTTGCTGATTTTAATCTTTTTTTATATAGACTGATGTAGTCCAATTCTTTCATGGTGGATACTATAAAGCTGGAAAGATGTATGAGGGCAGAGCAAATTTCACAGGAAATGTTGACATGGATGATTGCTCAATTAAGATCACGAATTCACTTATGACAGACAGTGGAACCTATGAGGTTGAAGTTAAAACTCCTTTGGACATGGAAGGCGAACGGAAAGGCACAGTAGAAGTGACTGTACTGGGTAAGGATACTTACAAATAAGCAGAAACAGTTTGTTGTTAGTAGTGTTTTTAGCATTTATGTGTACACAGTTCTAGTCACTGAATAAAAGAAAGATTAATTAATGATGTATTCTATAGCTATGAATCTCAGCCCAGTTCCTCCATGTAGATCTGGGAGAGTTGCAAGGTTCCATACACACATTTCTTAACTATACAGGGATTGGTCAGACAACACTGAAATACCTTCTATAGTTTTGGTTGTCTTGTATAATGAAAGATGTACTGTTCTTGCATTGGAAGCCGTTACAAGAATATTCACTAGGATCCCATTCAGTGGGTTGTAAAGGGTTGTCTTATCAGGAAAGGTTGTACAAGTTGCATTTGTGCTCACTGGGAGTTTAGATAAATAAGAGATGAATATCTTGTTTTGTAACTAATTGCCAGGTTCTTGATTCTGCAAAATACATCTAACTTCAATATTTTATTCTTTACAAGTTGTGTATGAGTAAGATTTTAATTGATAGAACATTTAAAATATTCAATACTGTCTTAATGACAATAATGAAAACTAATATTTTCTGCATTGATAGATTACATGTATTACTAAGTGGTTGTTTCATCTGGTTTGAGAATCTAGAACATGAGTGTAGCCTCTGGATGGTGGGGGTGGGAGGGAGGAACATGGGTGCTGAATCACTTTTGAAGACGAATAGAAATTTCTTCACTCAAAGGATTTCTACCATGAGTGGGCAGATGTTCTGGTTTTCAGTATATTTAAGGCTGAAAGAGACAGAGAGAGAGGTTTTTTGGTCTCCACAGGGAATCAAGGAATGTTTGAAGCAGACAGGAAACTGGAGTTAAGGTTAACAATCAGCCACAATCGTACTGAGTCGCAGAGCAGGTTCTAGGGGCCCATATTGTCTACTCCTGCTCCTGCATCTTATGTTCTATTTTTACTCAGACTGGTACTAATGAGCAACATTACTGTTCGCTCATCTCCCACAAACTAATACAATTGCCATCCAATACCTGATGTTGCATGTTTTAAAATTAAAGTTTAATAATCTGGATATTAAACAATAACTAAATGCAGTTTTGTTGTTGAACTTCCCTGCATATTATGTACAAAACCTCATTAATGCAAGAGTATCAAAAATAACAAAATCACCTTGTTTCTATGTGATTGAAATTAACTTATTAGGTCCATACATAACTTAAAATGAGTGTACAAATCCCTCATTGGCTCAATGCTTCCCATCTTAGTAACCTCCTCTAGCGATCCTAAGATTCCTGTGCTCATCCAACTCTGGCATTTTGTGCTTCCCCAGTTTGTTTGCTGAATAATTGGTGTTTGTGCCATCAGATATCTGTCCCACAAGCACATGAATGTTCTTGCTAAACATCTTTCTGTTGGACTCATTTATGCAGACTTCCTCAGTCTCTTTCTCTCTTTTCCATAAGAATGCTTCCTTGACTCAAGCTTTTGATTCACCTGACTTATTGCCTCAGTGTGAAGTTTAGTTTGACTAACATTTCTGTGATTTGTTTTGCGATATTTTACATGTTACAGATGTTATAAAAATGAAAATTGTAATGCAATATACCCCTGAAATTTAAAACTATTTCACATCTACAATATTATGATTTATTAAATTCTTTTTCATGGCAGCTGCTTTGAGAGATAAAATGAAGAAATAACCCTGAATAATCTGTCCTGACTTTGATTTGCAGTCCCTCCATCACCACCAGTTTGTACAATTAAAGGAAAAGCTGAATATGGACAAACTGTTAAACTGACTTGTCACTCTGCAGAAGGATCTCCAAAACCAACCTATTCTTGGCAGAGTTTCAATGGAATGAATCAGCCAAGACAGTTACCCCAAATGTCTTCTCAAGGTTAGTATTTACTGTAAATTATGTTTAATCTTGAATGTTAAAGAAAAAAATCTGTCATGGGATGTGTCTATCATGGACAAATTCAGCATTTGTTCATATTCATAACTGCCTTTTTAAACTGAATTGTAGGCTGGTAGAGAGCAGTCAAGAGTCAACAACATTGGTTTTGGGTCTGGAGTCACATGTAGGTAAAACTATTAAGGATGGTAGATTTTCTTCTCTCAAGAACATTAATGAACCAGCTAGGTTATGATGGCAATGATAGTTTCATGACTATCGTAAAACTGGCCTTAATTCCGGATGTTTAAGTTCCACCAGTTGTTGTGGTAGGATTCAAATCTATGTTCCTAGAGCATTAGTCTGAGCTTTTGGATTATGATTCAAGTAACATTACCATTGTATCACCGTTTCTCATATTTGTGTGTATTATCAATATGTCAAAATGACTACTCCTGTTCACCAGATGTTAACTTTTGAATTTTATTTATTACCATGTTTTAATTGTAGGAGTTATCTTTGCTAGTTATAATCTGCCTGTTGGCATTGTACATTAGATCAGTTTAGCGACAACAGTACCTCGTGTTCATCCATCTTCATCTGTCATGAACATTTTAGTCTTTTGGTTTTTTTCATTGGGATTTAAATCATTAACTTTTTATTAAACTGTTCTTTATAGTGACAGCCAATACTAAATTGTAGCCTTTATACCTATAAGCCAATTATGTTAAACATAATGGAGTACAGGTAACATGTTTACTGCAGTCAATAACCTACGTACAAACTGTGCACAAAACGGTACTCGAAATTGTGCTTGTTTTGAAATGTGCCTTTATGTTTCTGCTCAAACCTATGTGCATAGTGCCAAATAGACAATCTTTCCTGAACCAGTACAACTGGACAACTTTTTAGAATGTACTTTTCTAAAGTATGTTTACTCTTTTTAAAGAAAAGGCTGCATGTATTTGTATCTGGTAATTTGATACAGTCTGATCTAATACAGTTTTAAATGGATTTTTCACAAGATAAGCATTTTTAATCTCAGTCCATCATCTGGGTAACTTGATTTTAAATAACTGACTTTTGAAAAATGATTATACAGACCAGTTGGAACAAGTTGATGTATAGTAGCCTGTTTCTTAGTCAGTTAGGAGAAAATGTACACAAAAGGTATAAAAAAGTGTTGTTGCACCAGTTTCATTTTAAGAGTCCTGGAGGCCAGCAAACAATCACAATTACCAGAAAGTCTCAATGGCAATTCATTTCCTAGAATGGCTAGTTTTGTGGATGATTGGCTTTTTCAACTTGTGGATGCTGGAAATTGAAACAAAACTTGTTACTGATGGAGAAAGTCAGCAGGTCTGTCAGCATCTGTACAGAGAAGGCAGAGTTAACATTTCCAACTGAAGAACGGTCACTGGATTCAACATGTTAACTCTACTCTCTCTCCATGTATGTTGTAATTATTATTTGCTGCTACCCCATCCTTTGTGACCATAAGGCTTTGGATGAAGTAAATAAAGAAAAGCCATTTCCAGTTTCTGAAAGTTTGATAACCACTGCAGTTAGATTTGAGGTAATTGGCAGGAGAACCAGAGGCAGTGTGAGGAATTGCTGTATCAAATTGTGATCTGGAATGTAATGTGTGAAATGTTCTTTTTTAAGAAAGGAGTCATGGATTTTGTTTGGAGGAGGCAGTGGTTGGGAAAGAGAGACCCGAATTGTAAATCCTTGCAGTGTTTCATTTGTTCATCTAACTGAAAATTGTCAAAACTCTTCAAACATGGTGAATTTATTTTTTGGGACTCACTAATTACTGCAATACCTTTTAGTAACTTGTGGTTTAAGTTCAGTGGGAACTCAACATAGGCTCCCCGAATATATTATATTTCTTAAAACTAATTCTTACATTTTCTCTCAGAACCAGATGGATTATTGCTAAAAAATCTTTCAGCTGAAACATCTGGCTACTTCGTATGCACCTCAAGAAATAAGATCAAAGCAGTCTCTTGTAATATAACCTTAGCGGTAATGCCTCGTAAGTATCTTAGCTAAAATCAGCCAATCTAATTTGATTTACTTTTGATCGTTATGCATATGCTGTGAACTTTCCATAGTATAATTAATTAAGACATTTATTGTATTTGTGTTTTAGAATCATGCAGTATAGAATATTGAGTTTGCACTGACAAAAACTACTTTAAATGGACACTAGTCTGACTTTCCATCACTTTGTCCAAAGCCTTGAAGGTTATGACATTTTGAGTGTTCATCCAAGCACTTTTTAAATGTTGTGACATTTCCAGCCTCAGCTTCCTTCCTCGGCAGGGCATTCCAGATCCCTTATCCCATACATGAGGAAAAGCTTTTCCTCAAATTCACTTTAAAACTCCTGTCCTTCACCTTAAAATTATACCTCCTTTCTAAATAAACTATTGGGTTGAATTACTTGCCATACTAAATAAACATATTTTACTGCATCAGCACCCTGACTTGGAAATATATCACCATTCCTTCATTTTTGCTGGGTCAAAATTTTGGAATTCCCTGCTGAACAACATTGTGGACCTATGTGCAGCACATGGACTGCAGTGGTTCAAGAAAATGGCTCACCACCACCTTCTCAAGAGCAACTGGTGATAAATGATAAATGTTGACCAGCCAGCAATGCTCACATCACACAAATGAATTTAAAAAAATTACATAGCCCTACTACTACACCCAGGTTTCCTTTATATCCTTACTGTGGAAATGTGAATCATATGAGCTTTGGAACTTTGTATCTAGCAATCCTTAAGAGCCCAGCTCGCTCTCATTCTTGGAGGACAGTTTAAAGAGCAGCTGTACAAAACCTGGCATTTTCACCATTCTTCTGAGCCTTTGGGAGACTCTGACTCTGTCCACTGTAAGCACTGAGCCTCCAACCATAATACCTTACATTATTGCCACAGTAACACAATCAGGGCCTCCCTTTTATCTTTAACCATACCAGTCTGATTGTCGAGGAGACTTCAGTACACAGTACCTGAAACACTGTGTTTTACTTGAGATTGAAGACCATTCTAAAGCCTCTCAACCTTACAAACTGCGTAAATGTAACAAGAAGGGGTGTTTACATTTTTTCGTAAAAGTAACTTGTATAAAGCTTTTAATGTAAAATGATACTCCATGTTTGAAGCTTTGTTTTCCCAACTTGTTAGCTTCAATGAACCTTGGCTTTTATGGTGGAATTATCGGAGGTGCAATTGCTGTCATCGTAATCCTTGGTATCATTATTTACTGTTGCTGTTGCCGTGATGAAAAGGCACCCAAAGATTATGAAATGGGGTGAGTAGAAAATGCAATAGATAATGGAAACACACCTTGTTTTTGAAATAGTGACATGGAACTTTGAACATTTGCCTGGACATTTAGATGAAATCTCAGTTTAACATCATATAGAGAATGGGACAACCAAATTACATGCACATTTGGGTACACTTTGGGGAAATGGTAACAGCACGAGAAATACAACCTGTCTGAATTTAAATGTGAGGCAGTAAATGGCCAAGTTGTTTCTGATTGACTGTGCTATCACTAAGCCATGCCAAGCCCCTTCCCGGCATTGTTGCGGCTGCTCCTTTGATTGTTCAGGTCACCATTCAATTTTAAACCAGCAAATTACATTTGAGCTATGCTCTTGGCTGCATGTGTTGCTAGCCTGTCATTTGCTGTCCTTAATCCAAAGTGTTTTCCTCTTGCAACAGAATTGTCCTCAATGTTGTTAGCAGTCTGCCTTTTTCACTTTCATCACTGACTTTCTGTGAAAGGGAACAAAGTAATGTAAAACAGGATACAAAAACAGGAATTACTGGAGCAACTCAGCAGGTCTGACAGCATCTATGGGAAGAAAGCAGAGTTAACGTTTCATCAGGCTCTTCATCAGTCACCAAACTCTAAATGCTAACTCTTTTTGCTTTATTCATTTGTGGGATGTGGGCGTCGCTGGCTGGCCAGCATTTCTTGCCCATCCCTAGTTGCCCTTGAGAAGGTGGTGGTGAGCTGCCGTTTTGAACCGCTGCAGTCCTCCTGCTGTGGGTTGACCTACACTGCTATTAGGGAGGGAATTCCAGAATTTTGACCCAGCGATAGAGAAGGAACAGCAATATATTTCCAAGTCAGGATGGTGAGGGGGGGAACCTGGAGGTGGCTGTGTTCCCATATATCTGCTGCCCTTGTCCTTCTAGATGGAAGTGGTCGTGGGTTTGTAAGATGCTGTCTGAGGATCTTTGGTGAATTTCTGCAGTGCATCTTGTAGATAGTACACACTGCTGCTACTAAGTGTAGGCGGTGGAGGGAGTCAATGCTTGTAGATGTAGTGCCAATCAAGTGGGCTGTTTTGTCCTGGACGGTGTCAAGCTTCTTGAGTGTTGTTGGGGCTGCACTCATCCAGGCAAGTGGGGAGTATTCCATCACACTCCTGACTGTGCCTTGTAGATGGCGGACAGGCTTGAGGAGTCAGGAGGTGAGTTATTCGCCACAGTATTCCCAGCTTCAGGCCTGCTCTTGTAGCCACTCTGTTAATGTGGTGAGTCCAGTTGAGTTTCTAGTCAATGGTAACCTCCAGGATGTTGGTAGTGGGGTTTCAGTGATGGTAAAACCATTGAACATCAAGGGGCGGTGGTTAGATTGTCTCTTATTGGTGGTGGTCATAGTCTGGCATTTGTGTGGCGTGAATGTCACTTGCCACTTGTCAGCCCAAGCCTGGATATCGTCCAGATCTTGTTGCATGTGAACATGGACTGCTTCAGTATCTGAGGAGTCGTAATGGTGCTGAACATTGTGCAATCATCGGTGAACATACCCACATCTGACCTTATGATGGACAGAAGGTCATTGATGAAGCAGCTGAAGATGTTTGGGCCTAGGACACTACCCTGAGGTTTTCTTCCCAAAGATACTGGCAGACCTGCTCAGGGAAAGATTGCTAACTGGATACAAAATTGGCATGGCAGTAGGAGACAGAGGGTGGTGGTGGAGGGTTGTTTCCCGGAACAGAGGCCTGTGACCAGCAGTGTTCCACAGGGATCAATGCTGGGTCCACTATTGTTTGTCATTTATATACGTGATTTGGATGAGAATTTGAGAAGCATGGTTAGTATGTTTGCTGATGACACCAAAATTGGTGGTGTAGTGGACAGTGAGTGTTATTTAAGACTACAAAGAGATCTTGATCAATTGAGGGGGCATAGATAAGGTGAATGACAAGAGTCTCTTCTGTAGGGTAGGGGAGTTTAAAACTAGGGGACATATTTTTTAAGGTGAGACGAGAAAGATTTAACAAGGATGAGGGGCAACTTGTTTTACACAAAGTGGTTTGTGTGTAGAATGAACTGCCAGAGAAAGCAGGTATAGTTAGAAAGTTTAAAAGACAATTGTATAAGTTCATGAATAGAAGGTTTGGAGGGATATGGGCCAAGCACAGGCAGGTAGGATTAGTTTAGTTTGGGAACAAAGACAACATCAACTGGTTGGACTGAATGGTCTGTTTCCATGGCATATGACTCTAATTGGGCCAACGGGCTGAGGAATGGCAGATGGAGTTCAATGTGAATAAATGCGAGGTGTTGCATTTTGGTAAGATGAGCAAGGGCAGGACTTATACAGTTAATGGTAGGATCCTGGTGAATGTTGTTGAACAGAAAGACATAGGAGTTTAGGTACATAGTTCTTTGAAATTTGCATCACAGGTAAACAGGGTGGTAAAGAAAAAGGCATTTAGCATGCTTGCCTTCATTGCTCAGACCACTGAATATAAAGAAGTTGGTACATCATGTTGCAGTTGTACAGAACATTGGTGAGGCCCCTTTGAGTACTGTGTACAGTTCTGGTCACCCTACTATATGAAGGATATTATTAAGTTGGAAAGGGTTCAGAAAAGATTAACAGGCATGCTGCCAGGACTGGAGGGTTTGAGCTATAAGGAGAGGCTGAGACTTTTCACTGGAACGTAGGAGATTGAGGGGTGACCATATAGAGGTTTATAAAATCATGAGGGGCATAGATAAGATGAATAGCAAAGGTCTTTTCCCTAGGGTGGGGGAAATTCAAAACAAAAGGACATATTTTTAAGGTGAGAGAAGAAAGGGACCTGAGGGGCAGCTTTTTCCTCAGAGGGTGGTTCATATGTGGAATAACCTGCCAGATGAAGTGGTACAGTTATAACATTTAAAAAACATTTGGACAGGTAAATGGATAGGAAACGTTTAGAGGGATATGGCCAAACACAGAGAAATGGGAAACTTGGTCAGCATGGATAAATTGGACTGAAGCATCTGTTTCCACGCTGTGCGACTATGCTGCTGGACCCGCTGCGTTTCTCCAGCAGTATTGCTTTTGTTTCAGATCTCCAGCAGCCGCAGTTCTTTATTTTGATGTAAAATAGGAATGGGTAAACTTCTTTCAGCCTGAATAATACGTTTAAGACATGATTAGGCCAATTCCACAGGACTGCCCTGAACCTCCAGGAATTGAGGCTTCATCTCCTGAGCCACCTAAGGAAAACAAAAGATGAAAATTTAAGCATTCCAAAACAAACTATCGTTTTCTTATTTTCTCTTAACAATTAACTTATTGGTTATTTTAAAAGATTGGATAGGGTAATAAGGTTATTTGATTGGACAAGATAAATGGAAATGTGACAAACTCCAGGAATACATTTTGCGTAGTTGGCCACTTGGGATCTAAGAAGCCAAAGTCCATAACAGACCATAGGCATCACCCTCAGAGGGAGAAAACTGGTTGTGTGGCTTGAGGGCAACAACTCCACAAGTGAGGTAGGTTGAGGAGGGCAGGATTTCTAAACTACTACAGCCAGGAGAGGGATTGAAACTGCGTTGTATTGCTTCTATTTTGCACCACACTCTAGTCATCTAGACAACGGAGGTAAATCGCAAGACACAAGTTGGTGAAATGTTTTGCAGGACTGAGCTAGTTGTAAACTGTTTTTCTTAATTGTTAATTAAATTAATTTTTGTTTTGATTTATCATCCAGCAAGAGTGATTGGTACTGAAACGTGGACTTGAAAAATACCAGGCCTAATGTATGTTTGAACCAGCATCGTGATTTTGCTACAAGGGACTAGGTGTGCCTATTCCCCCAGATCTTGAGCATCAGTGAACTGTGAAGGTTAGGGTTAATCATTTTGGGACTCCCTCCTACCTGCAAGTTCTATACTAGAGATAGGGTCAGCTGTGAGGGGACCATTAACGAAGCACGGCAGCTGTTTGGGAAGCACCTCTCATAGTAATAGAGCCTGCTCTCCATTCAGCTACTAGTTTTGTCGTGGCCTATGTGACTGAAACTGCAAGGAGAGTTGTAGGTAAACGTATCAACTGTTCCTTACCCTCTTCCTGTTAGGTTTGGTTTTGACATGTAACTTTATTTTTCTCTTTCACTTCCTCTTTTAGCAATAGAAAATTGCCATAAACTGAGAAAGTAGGGGCTTCAGAACTTCAAGTTCCATATTGTTTTACTGTTACAAAGGTTTAGGGAAACTCTGGAGTCCTTAAATGGAAGGATAATGTTGCGTCAAAAACTGTTCCCCTCTCTCTAGCAACTGACCAGCCTTGCTAGGCTGGGGCAACAGTATTCTGGTCTTCAGGGAAATGCCATATGTGGCTACTGATCCATTTAAAAAATAAAGAATTTTTGAATCCTCCTGAAAGAAGTCTAAAGCTTGCAATAATCACCTGAGATCCTAAGCTGACGTTTAACATATCTTCAGGTGGTAGGTATCACATATGCCATTATAAACAGAAGCAATCACGGTGAACAAAAACTTTTCATGGTCCAAATTTTTACTTTTATGTTAAAAGGGTTAATATTATCGTATTTAATAGGGATCAACACCACCATAGAGAATACGAAGATGAAGAAGAAGAACTACCTGAACAGAATTCCGCAAAGCATGACCATCAAGGAGCCTATGATGAAGTTCCTTACGAAAACGAAGGGGAGAACTCTCCCCGTCCTATTGTCAGAGCTCCATTGGCACCACCCAATAAACCTAAATATGTCCCAGAGAATCACGATGTGTAATAAGAGCAGTTTCCTAAAAGTAGCTTTAGTCTAATGGGTAAAATTGGGTCTTAAAATTGCAAAATATAATAGTGAGCTATTGGAACAATTTAATGCAGTAACAGTATGTAGATAAGTAGATAAGTTTTATTTTAAAATAGGATAGCTGCCTTTTCTGGAGTTGTCAACTTTTTTTTTTTTTTTTTTTTAAAAAAGTAACTCTTTAGATTTTGGTTATGTCCTGAAAAGAAGTCCTAAGTATCATTTTCATTTCAAGTCAGCAGTAGGATTTGTTGGGGGTTGGTTAGTTCAGTTGGTTGGACAGCTGGTTCACAACGTAAAGTGACAGTGACAGCAACAGCAACGTTCAATTTCCATACTGCATAAGTCATTATGAAGTCCTACATTCTCAATCTTACCCCCTCATCTGAGGTCGTTCTTGGTAACGAGGGGATCTTCTGGAACACTAGATGGTGACTTTACCTTTTTTTTTAAAAAAGGTTTGTTACTTTTAATTTTGGCCCTTTTTTAAAAAAGCCGGGATATATAATTGTTTAAAGTTATGCTTTAATGTGGGCTATTAAATACTTCAATATAATCGACATCTTGCAAGAATGCCTCATAATCGATGTTAAAAATGAAGCTAAACTTCATAGATAATAATGATATAATTACCTTGGAGTTTGCTTCTCTTTTCCCACACATTTTATGGGAATGGGTAACCTCCTTGCTTCTGAGCTAGATATCCCAGGTCCAACTCCAGCTGGACCTATGGCCAAGTAAATTGCATCCATAATGTGGCCAAACAGGTTGACTATTAACATGTAAATCTTTCCAATACAGAGTTTGGGGTGATTTTGTCTCTGGTTGGGGTGGAGTCAAGGTCTGCCACTTTGCCTAGCCTGTAATAAAGGTTGTGGCACTGTAGACTTGACCTGCCTTCAGGTAGTGAATTAAAAAAAAAGCAAAAGAAACTTGCAACCTTCAGAGAAACAAAGTTTATTAGACAAAAGTAGAGCAAAGTAAGCTTAGAGAGGTTTGATAGAGGTTAAGAAACTTTTGAACAGATTAAGTAAAGGGAAACCAATTCCAGTGCTGAAGGATTGATAACCACCAGGATTAGATTGGAGGTAATTGGCATGAGAACCATATGTAGTGTCAGGAATCACTGTACCAAACTGATCTAGAATGTAATGCCTGAAAGGTTAGTAGAAACTAGGAGAGGGTTTTTTTTTTTGTTTTTTTTTTTAAAATTAGAGTCATGGATTTTGACTAATTGAATTACTCCTGCAAAAGAGCTATCAAAGATTGATGGGCTGCATACCTTTCATTTGTGGCACAATCCATGTACTCTTCCTCAAACATTAAATACTTAGTAGTATCTCAAAAGTAACAAGTGCCTGTTTAACTTGCTTAAAACATGCATGAATTAAAGCATTTTTCAATTTTTTTCTGTAAACAAATATAATAATGTGGAGGTGCTAGTGTTGGACTGTGGTGGACAATGTCGGAAGTCACACGACACCAAGTTATAGTCTAACAGGTTTATTTGAAATCACAAGTCTTTAAAGAGTGCTGGCCCTTCGTCAGGTGAAGTGAAAGCAAATAATGATTGGTATAGAGTCACATGCAGAGGATCCTATTCCAGTCATTTGGTTTGTCTCCAGCACCACTTTATTTTTAATTTTTTGTAATTATCTCTGCCTCAATTAATCAGATTATAGGTCATCCCTTCACTTGCTACTCAGCTGTTGACACTTTACGAGCATTGTTATCACTCTTTAGCACTTGCGGACTTATTATTCAGCCCGTCAGCACTCCAATCACACCATTTGTATGATCTTTTGATCTCTCTGATCATCAATTCCATCAGTGTGTTTTTACTTAATCTGATGAAGGAGCACTGCTGCGAAAGCTTATGATTTCAAATAAACCTGTTGGACCATAACCTAGTGTCATGTGACTTCAAACTATAACATTTGAGATATCTTTTCATGACTATTGTAAACCATCTCTTCATCCTTAAATGCAAAAGTTCATCTGAAATTCCAGGCTCAATTCTTGAAAATATGTCAAATCTTTGTTTTTCTATTTCTGAGCTAATCCTTTCTGCGAGGTAAAGAAAGGAAACAATGCTGATAATGTTTCTCATTTATTATGCTGTCACGTTCCAGAGACTACACTATGCTCAATTGGCAAAATACACGGCCTGTAGCTTAAAGAGGATATGGTCTAGAAAATGGATCTGAATGAATCAGTAAAATGGCTAATCCAAGTTACTCGATCCCCATTCCTACATTCTTCCATTTTTTAAAAAAAAATTTCAGTATCTTTGAAATAGTGTCATTTCAAACAGGCATACTTCTGATGGGTGTCTGTGCTACATGATGATTCTATTTCATAACTGATAATTATATGAAAGATATTTTTTGCTGGGTAACGGTGTACATTTAGAAAAAGTCATTTTGGATTTTCAGCCTAACATTAAAAATTGAACTCCCATTTATGATAGTTGGTGTCTGGAGAGGATTCTGTTTAGCTTCCTTATCTTTATATTCATACAATAATAGACATTTGTGAATAAGTAATAGTCACTAAGTTGACAAATCAGTTTCCAACTGACCTCCTGTTTTTATTTAGCTTTTTTGTTCGGAAAAGCAAGTCATTTTAATCCACTAGCCACAAGAAATTAATTTAATTTCATTAAACATAATTTGGTGTTCATTCATGGTTGGCACTGTGTGAAATGTTTTTGATAGAGACATTCTGCGTTTATTGTGGATTTTGGAGTTCTGCTGCAGAAACTTGAACCTGTTTTCATTGCTGTTAAAGATGGCATCTTAAAATCACTGAATAAGGAAATGAAAAAGAATGGATAACAATAGCAGGTTTCCTCAATGTACAGTGGAGTTAAAAAGGTGGATAATTGAAAATTGCCGTTCTTAACTGCCATATTTTACACAACCATTTACAGATGCAGTAACAATACTGCATTTCTTCCAGGTTGGTAATGTACTGCACAAGTTTATAAAAACTCATTTCAGTGTTGTGTGAAATCCTAAAACAATGATGAATGTAGAATTTCATTAAAAATGGAATTCACATTGATCCCTTGTGCCAATAGAACAGTTAATGTTCAAAAGTAGTTTCACATCTTCAATGAGAGATAGCAAGAACTGCAAATGCTGGAGTCCGAGATAACATTATGAAGCTGGAAGAACACAGCAGACCAGGCAGCTTCACAGGAGCAGGAAAATTGACGTCTCGGGTCAGGGCCCTTCTTCAGAAATGGTGAGGGGTAAGGGAGCTCAAATAGAGAGGAGGGGTGGGGCTGGGGAAGGTAGGTAGGATGGTGATAGGTGAGTGCAGGTAAGGAGTGGTGGGGATTTGTCAGTGGAATGGGAGGGGTGGATAGTGGGAGAGAAGATAGACAGGTTGTGTCAGGTCAAGGAGGCAGGGATGAAAGTGTATTTTTATACAAAGACTTACTGTTTGCCCTAATTTTACTGAATGCATTATGTAAAAATCTTACATTTATCATGGACTCTGTCATTTTTAAGGGAATCAATATTCATGATATCAGAAAATCAGCATTTTGCCATTTAGGCCAATAAGTGTAATTGTTTTAGTCTCCATTCTGACAAGGGAGCAGTTTCATTCAAACATGCTGCTGAAATTGTGATTGTGGCAATCACACATCCATGGTGAGTTTTAAACATTCCATGGAACTCCTGACTTGTAGATGGGAGACAGCTTCCTTTGCATCTCTTGGCATTACCTGAAGGATCCATCAAGGCCTTCCCCACGACCTTACAATCACTTGCTCGGTTCCTCTCTCAGCAACATCACCATCCAGCATGCCCATGAAGGGTTAAGCCTGCCCCTCCTTTCAGAGGGATGGATGAGACATCCCATTTTTATCCTTAGTATTATCTGCCTATAACGGGACTTGTCACTTGTCAACAAGACGTTTTAGCATGACCTTATTTAGATGACTGTATTGACATCAGCAGCTCGAGGTAACCTGGATGCGCAGACATTAACCTACCTTCTTCACCTGTCTGTAGTTCTACCACTTATTCTGCTGAAACTCAAGTGATCCTATTAACACTTCTTACCTTATTTCTCCCCTTCCTCCTCTGGCACCTTCTCTCTTAAATGTCACATCAAAGCAGGTCATTAAAACACCGTCTAACTCAGCCTTGAATACACTTACTCAGTAAGGGAATCAAAGGTCGTGGATATGACAAGAAAGTGAAGTTGAAGATTATCAGATCAGTCATGATCTCACTGAAATGGCCTCTGTCTGCTCCTACATCTTATGGTTGTCTTCTCCCTGTTGAACACCACATAGGAGGAAGCACTGAGGGTGGCAAGGGCAGAGTATGTACTGAGTGGAAGGCTTCATTGTCCAAGAATGGTTTAGTTAACTACTACTGACCAAGCCTGGCTTTCAAGCAACAAATGACTGCATGGGTGCTTTTTAAGCATGACAGCCAGACCACTCGTCCCATGAAGCAATAGCAGAGATGTTGCTGTCTTCCTGCTGTAAGCTTCCTGTGCTTTGCACAGGCATACCTAGTTAGTTGGCCATCGTGTAAGCATACATGAATAGTCATCCCAATCACAAGCAAGAGGAGTGATACTCACTTTTGGTTGTCCAATCAAGCCGCTGCAGCAAAAGAATCCACCCTGTATTGTGGGCTTTAATGGTGGCAGAAGTAGTAACAATTCTGGTTTTCAAGTGAACTGTTTCAATTTAGAATTGATAAGCAATTTCTTCATAAAGACCACAATGGTAATAAAAAACAACTTTCATTTAAATCTTGTTCTGTTTGCTTGGCTGGGTTGTTAAATCACATTTCCTGATTTGGTAAAGGTGCATTAGTTGCTGTGTAAAGTTAGTTAGCACTGAAGACTTCTTAAAACAAACTTCAAAAGTAATCTCAGCTCTACAAATTATCAAACCATAATCAAAATTAAATGGTCGCTAAGTTCAAATTATCATTTTATTTAACAAATTTATCAGGAACAATTTCAAGAACAGTCATTCAGAACACAAAATGAACTTAGTAACCTGCTCCAAAAAAATCAAAATCCCACGTTCGGATGCATAAAATATGCATTGGTGATTTCCCATTACATTGTCATTTGAAAACTGACAAGGCTTAGGCATGTTTTTAAAGTATTTATCTTTTACATTTTAGAAAAAAGCTCTTAGCTTACTATAATCATGCAACTGCAATCTTACAAGTGTTAGCCCTGAAAAACAGCCCAATAGTGGGTTTCAGACTATGACATTATTTATGCTTCAAGTACACATACAAAAAGTTATCACCAAACATCAAAACAAACAGCTATATTAAATGTTTTTCTTTACAACTGTTTTGAGTATTATTGAATATATTTACTGCTGAAATCCTGGTGGTGAGCGAGATGGAAAATTCAGCCATGCAGCCAGAGCACCTCTTCCTCTCCCAAACTGCGCTGCAATAGGATAATCCCTTAAACTGGATGCTGATTCACAGCTTCTATCTACGACATACAAATAGGTATTATTTCAGGGCAAACAACTGGCTCTATAGTCTGTTCAACAAAATAATCATCATTTTGGAGCACTAAAATGTGTGATAAATCACGATCCTCTATCCAGAGATGTTTTAAAAACAAATTGGCTCATTATACAGATAAAACAAATTTGTTTCCTGGTGGAATTTCACTTTCATCATTAGCGCACATTGCAGAAAACACATCTGTGTATTTACTTTTATACTTGGTAAATCACTTTCACTGTTTTTAAATATTTACTGAAATTGATTTTCAAATGTTTGACCAATTTTACAATCAACTTGTTAGGTTTCTAAGTAAAACCTCTATGTCGTCATTTGAAAGTAGAGTTAAAGATCCAGCTTTTCAATGATGGAAGGTTTCAGCATTATTCATCACTTTTGAAATTACATTGTTAGTCATATAGCTCGCCCTTCCATACAAGGCATTAAAGCCTTTAAATCTCTTGCATAAATTTGAAAATTTTCCAAAATGCAGAACTATAGCTGAAAAAGCAATTCATAACCATATGGCTAGTCCAAAAGATGCTTAGGGCTTTGACGTTCATTCAACCAATGGTTTACAGCATTTGGGAAGCAGAATTTTAAATATTTTGACTGTTATGATTTCAGTCCTAATGGCCATTAGTTGGAAATCTATTTTATACTGAAGTAATAATTCTTGTAGTTCCTTTGCACCAAGTTAAAATTTAGGATATTGAAAACAACTCGCAAGTACTCAGGAAAAGAAAAATTCTGCTTACCGCTGGAGACATTTGAAGCTATAGATTCAACTGGCAAATGGATATATTTCCTCAAGTTGTTCTTTGGTTTTACTTGCTTTTAAAAAACAAAAACAGAACATTCTTAAAATGTTGCTATTTTTTCTTAAACATTTCTTTAAAAAAGTTGACGACAGACAGAGAATAATCTGCCTTCCTAAATTAATATTTTCTCACCAATCAGGTGTATCACTATTAGCCATCCTTGGCCTGAGAACTAATGGAAGGATTATCACAATCCATCAGAATAGAGGGCAATTACATTGTCTGAAAAGGTCTGCTTATATTTTCCATTGGAGATACACAAGAAATTGTTTATTATTTCCTGCATTCGATTAATAATGCCACCCAGCACAGACCTGCTAAATCATCACAGATCAGGGACTGAATCTGGAGCCCTTCTGATCTGCATCTGTTTGTATGTTTATATACAGTCAGTTACTTGGTGATTAGTAATACACCTCAATGTGAAGACTTGAGTTTTTCATTTGCACTGTCCATCTTCCTGACATTTATTTTTGAGGCAAAACTATAATGCTCCTTCAAAACTTTACAAAAACACAGAATATGGAATTTTTCAATTTTTAACTTTTCTAGCCTCCAGTCACATGAGGCTTTTTCTTAAGGTTAGTAGAAACTTATGTACTAGCAGCTACAACCTTAAGCACAATAAATAAAATCCATCAAACCCACCCATTAAGTATTCAACAACATTCCTCTTACCCTACAGCACCAAATCAGAAGAGCCACTTAAGTATGGCAAAAGCATTTCTCTCAGAACTGGATCTTAGAGTCTTGGAATGAGAACTATGACCAGCTCTTCAGTAAATTATGTAAAATGATATGGACCAACGTCAGAGTTATACAGCACAGAAATAGACCCTTCAGTCCAAGTTGAACATAATTCTAAACTAAACGAGTCTCACCTGCCTGCTCCTGGCCCATAACTCTCCAAACCTTTCCTATTCACATACTTATCCAAATGTCTTTTAAACACTAACTGTATCCACATGCATCACTTCCTCAGGAAGTTCACTGCACACACGAACCATCTTGTGTAAGAACTTTGCCCCTCATTTCTTTTTTAAAATTCCTCTCCTCTCACTGTAACGTGCCTAGTCTTGAAATGCCCCATCATAGAGAAAAAAGGACAACTACCATCAATTCTACCCATACCCCCTCATTATTTTATAAACTTCTATCAAAGTTGCCTCTCAACCTCCTATGCTCCAATGAGACAAGTCCCAGCCTATCTGGCCTTTCTTTATAACACAAACCTTCTATGTCCAGCAAGATCCTAGTAAATCTCTTCTGAAGCCTGTCCAGCTTATTATCCTTCCTATAACTGGACAACCAGTACTGGACACAGTATTCCAGAAGAGGCCTCACCAATGTCCTGT